CTATGCGAGGAATACTAAGGATCAAACTCAGGTCATTGGGCTTCGTTGTAAGCACTCTTATGCACTGAGCCATCTTTGCTGGCTCCTAAAGTTCTTATGATTTTAAACTTTAATAATTAATTTTAATAACAACTTCAATAATGAATAGTTTTCACAACTTTAAGTAATAATTAAGAGTTGTAATAAGCTTAATTAAAGCCTTAATAACAAACTTTAACAACAAATTCAGGCACTGACAAGCTAATGTGGAGTGCTGCAGGAGTCGGCGACGCTGCCTGGTAGTAGGCTGCTGGCCAACAGGTGAGAGAGGCCCTGCGCTGATCTCACGCCACATATTTCAATCCAGATATTCTGAATGGTATACATACATATATGCTTTTTAAATACTTAAGATCTTACAAGGTGTGAAACTTTACTTAAAAAAATATAGCTGGGCATGGTGTCACATAGCACCAGTATTTGGGAGTCAGAGGCAGGTAGATCTCTATGAGTACAAGGTCAGCCTGGTGTACATAGGGAGCTCTAGGCCAGCAAGAGCTACAGAGTAAGAACTTGTCTTTAAAAAAAAAAAAAAATTCTTTCAAGAGCTAGTTCAGTGAGTCAAGGCAGCTGCAGCCCAGCGGCAGCTAGAGCTTGATCCCCAGGACCCATCTTGTGGAAAGAGGGAAATGACCCTAGGAACTGCTCTGACCCACAGCCCCTTTATGCAGGAGGTTGACATGGGTAACCTAATCCCACAGATCAGGACCAGCCTGGGAGACAAATGCCACCATCCCATTGTTTTAGTTACTAAAGTTAATAGAAATTTACTAATATCATTGATTCATCCTTTGAAATTTCTCTAATTTAAAGATGAATTTTTGTAGCTAGATTTATAGGTGAACGTTTTGGATAGATTTAAAAAAAAATAGCTCTCAGAAATGAGAAGGTAAATTTTTCATGCCTGGGGCCTCAGACCCAAGTAAGCTGTGTGCAGAAAACTCTATTTGACTTTTCTTTTTTTTTTTTAAAGGGCTGGAAAGGTGGCTTGGCAGTTAAGAGCATTGGCTGCTCTTCCAGAGGACCTGGGTTTAATTCCTATCACTCACATGGCAGCTCACAACTGTCTATAACTCCAGTTCAAGGGGAATCTGACATCCTCTCACAGACAAATGTGCACATAAAATAAAAATAAATAAAATATTTAAAAAGAAAATGACTGGAGAGGTGGTGCAGTGGTGGTAAGAGGACATACTGAGCTTCCAGAGGACCTGAGCTCAGTTCACACCACCTAAAGCTCTGGCTCGGAGGGATATGGTACCTGCACACATTGCACATATCCTCACACAGATAATAAAAATAAAAGAGCATCTTCAAAAGTTTGGGTTTTTTTGCCGGGCATTGGTAGCTCACGCCTTTAATCCCAGCACTTGAGAGGCAGAGGCAGGCAGATTTCTGTGAGTTGGAGACCAGCCTGGTCTATAAGAGCTAGTTCCAGGACAGCCTCCAAAGCCACAGAGAAACCCTGTCTCGGAAAATCAAAAAAGAAAAAAAAAAAAAAAAAACAAAAAAAAAAAAAAAAAGAAAAAAAAAAAAGAAAAAGAAAGTGCGTTTTAGTGACACTGTTTATTTTAGATGGGGAGCACGTGTGTGAGACGAGAGGATAACACGTGGGCGTCAGTTCTCTCCTTAGGGCTGTTAGGGTCTGAGGCTCAAACTCAGGTCACCAGCCCACAGGTGCCTTTACCGCCTGAGCATCTCCTGAGCCCTGAATCTACTTTTAAATGTCATTTTCAGACCACTTTCCCACTCAAAAATTACACTGTTTACTTTTTAAAATCCTAAATTTGGAGTGTGGCATATGCCTGTAATCCCAGAATTCAGAAGGCTAAAGCACAAAGTTGTGAGTTCTAGTCCAGCCTGGGCTATATAGTTGAGACCCTATCTCAAAAGAAAAAAAAATCCACATGTAAAAAAGAGTAAATTAAAAGCCATATTGGAGACTACACAAGCATGTCCCTCAAAAGCAATGACATAAAAGAATGATTATTTAACGTAAGGGAAAGATGCAAAGGACATCAGGCCCAGAGTTCCCCTCAAAGGTTTGTCTTATTTCTTCTTGAAGCTATAAGAACTTGGGGTTCTGAGAAACATATTGGCAAACACAGCTGGTGGGGAGCAGGGGTGCAGGTGAATGCAATGACCTCTGAGGTACTGCCCTTTAATAATAAATTCCGATCCAAGCACTACAGAGTTGTGAGCAGTCTGATTTTTCCTCTGAATCCCACTCCATCTCCACCTCCTGTTGCCATAGCCCTGTTTGTAGCACACCAGGGGGCAGAGATTCTGGTCTTCACACAATGTCTTACCATTCAACTTTGTCCCCTAAACATTCACTCCCCTGCCTCCTGTGGAACCTATTAGTCAGATATGCACTTTCCAGGAACTTGATCATGTTACAGGCCTTTTCTTATATGATGAGTCCAATGCTAGTCATGAATAAGCAAGTTTTACAGAGGCTGGCTGGTGTAATTTATAAAAATAGTGACTCCACATCCAGAAATAGGATAAATGTGGCCTAAAAGAGGCCACCATATATCTGTTAAATCCCAGGTCTCCTGCTACAAACAGCATATGGCCTTTTCTTCAGCCATGCCAATCAAGCACGTTAGAGACTTGGTTGAGGCCAGTGCTTTGACTTGACAAGGACATTTGCTATAATAGAGCGAACTGGATGATTTTCAAAAAAACACTGTCTCCTTTCTCCCATTTGCAAGCCTCTATCCTTGACCATTTGAGAAGGCATCAAGCACCAGAAGGACGGAAATGGTATTTACTTTTCTGTTTTAAGAGCAGTAGGGATATACTTAGGCAGTGGTGGTGCACACACACTTGGGAGGCAGAGGTAGGAGGATCTCTGTGAGTTCAAGACCAGTCTGGTCTACACAGTGAGTTCTAGGACAGCTAAGGCTACACAGAGAAACCCTGTTTCAAAAAACAAAAACAACAACAACAAAAAACCTGAACAAACAAACAGACAAAAAGAACTATGGGGATGTTAGAGATGTACTAGTTGGATTTTGCCACAATTTTCTCTTCTTGAATCTAGTTTCAATGACTACATGAATCAGCCCCTACTGGCCCGAAATTGTACTTTATAAATATGGGCTGAACATTATCTTTCCAAACGAAAGTGCCCAGATTGAAATACCCTGTGTCCTTCCTGGGAGAGTGGCACAGCCCTTGAGGAAAAGGCCATCTTTGTGTAGAACAAATGGACCGAGGGAAATCCGCTTTCCTCCCTGCCCTTCTTCACACAGTCACCGCCAAATGACATGTTTTATCATTCTAAAAATCTGGCTAAGCAGACTGAGCAAAGGGCCCATTCTTCTGGTCTTAAACGGTGGTTTTCTGACATGAGACCTGCATTAAAGCACCCTCAGGCTGGAAGGATGGCGACAGTGGGGGTAGTGGGACTGGTCTGCATTTTCCTTCCCCTGGCACCATCAGTATTCAGACTGTCCTAGGCAAGAAGCAGAGGGATCCCAGGTCCCTGAAAACCACCACATCACAGTACAAACACAATCTTCTTGACCCAAGGACGAAGAAGCAGGGAGAGGAGCAGACTTATAAAAAGGGGGGAAAGTCAGCTAGTGGCTGGGCAGAAGCAGATGCAGGTGGATCTCTGTGAGTTTGAGGCCAGCTTAGTCTATATAGTGAGTTTCAGGACAGTCAGGACTAGTGAGACCCTGTTGCCTGATGCAAAGCAAAACAAAACATACACCCCCGGGTGTATTTTATTCTTAAGTTATGTGTGTACATGCTTGTGGGTATGCACACTTCTGAGTGCAGGTGCCACAAAGTCACAGCATGGATCTCCTGAAGCTGGAGTAGCTGGCTGTTGTGAGCCACTTTATGGTGGTGCTGGGAACAAAACTTGGGTCCTCTCCAGGAGCAGCCAGTGCTCTCCAACTACTATTTTTAATATTTGTTTTGAGCCAGGATTTTACCACATAATTCAATCACTTTCTGCTTCAGGTTTCAGAGTGCTAGGGCTATAGTCCTGTGCCATCATGACAGTGTCACAGGTCAGGCAGGCAAAACAACAACAGCCCCAAATACCCCAGAACAAACAAGACTCATTTAAAACTGCAGTTCTCCTAAGGATCTGGGTGTCCTTCCTCCTGTCTTTGTATCAGGAAGGTAACAACTGAGTATAGAAATGAATGAATCAAACAGTAAAGAAACAGGACTACTAAAAGGCTAAAGAAGGGCCTGGAGAGATAGCTTAGTGGGTAAAGTGCTTGCCACACAATCCTAAGGACCAGAGCTTAGTCTCCAGCACCCATATAAAAAGCCAGGCATGCTGACATAGGCTTATAATCCCTGAGCTAGAAAGGTGAAGACAAGAGGATCTCTAGGGCTCTGCCCAGACAGCCTTGCCTAGCCCATCAGTCCCAGTTAGACATCCAGGATCAGCAAACAAGGTGGATGGCACCCAAGGCTGACTATCGGCCTCCACACATAATGCATGTATGCACATATGCACATATACATCCCTGCACACATATGAACACATGTATACACACATATCCACACATATATGAACACATACACATACCCACACACATATGTGCACATGCACACGCTCACATACATATGAATACACACATATATAAACACAAAAGATTGAAGAGACTTTGCCATGAATCAACATTAAAAACACAATAGATACTGTGCTATATAACCAGTCACTATCATTTTTCAGAGAAATTGAGCCCAAGTAATATCAAATACATGAGTTTTCATTAAGCTTACCGACCTGGGAAACACCCAGGAAATGGTATGCCATGGAACGTTCCTAGTACTTGAGAACTCAACAAGAGAAGTGGAAGCCCACACCCATGATGCTTCTTGCACTCACTAATAAAAGCCAGCAACAGGAGTTAACCTTGGGCAGTGCCTCCTGCTCTGAGCTTAGTACTCAGGCCCCAAGCTATCAGAGGGTGTGTTAGCCTTACTCTGGCAGGCAGGAATATCACAGTACTTCCAGTAGACACCGTCCTCATGCTCCGCCACATAGCACCAGGGGCTCACGTCTCCATCTGGATTTCTGTTGGGAATAAGGACACACTGATGACACTGCTTGTGTTTCAAGTCACCTGGCCTATTCTGCTTTACAGTGTTGAGTTCCCTGTCATTTCTAACAACTGCTGTGCATTTCAATGCAATCTCTCATCAAGAAGGAAAACACAAACTGGCCACAGTGGCTCAGGCCTATAACCCCAAAACTCAAGCACAAGCTGAGGCAGGAGGATTACTACAAGTTCTCGGCCAGCCTGGACTATACAGTAGGACCCTGTCTCAAACAAACAAACAAAACAATAAAACCACAGGTAACACAAGCTTGGAAAAGGTATATTTAAGGAAGGGTTTAATCTCAGATCATAAAAATATTTATTTCTGGGTGATAAGATTATTGGCAATTTTAGTTTTTTTTCTTCTGATTTTAGTTTCTTCTTCAGTAACGATTATCCCAAGTATGTAGTTTCTAAACAGCCAAATAAATTCACATAACACAAAGTCAGCTGGCAAGCCTACCCAGTCGAGCCTGGCTAACTCACACATGACAGAAGTGGTGCCTTCCTCCATCACCACATGGCCCCCACAGAGGCTTCTTAGTCAGGACACGAACTTCTAACGTGACAATCCTGTTTTTTAAAGATTTATTTTCATATTCCCAAGTGAGAGCATCTTGGAGTAAATGACCTTCAAGGTCATTTTGGTGCAGGGACATCATGACAATAAAGAGCGATGCTAGTGAAGTAGTTCAAATGACAGGGGCAGGCAGCTCCAGAGAGACAAGGCCGCCTCTCTTCACCCCTTCCCAGGCCCCTTTTATTTAGACTCAGAATACTGGAAACCTGACACTCCAGTTAGGCAGGAAATGGGCATGAGGACAGCCCCCACACCCCACCCTGGTGGAGCTCTGCAGCAGGCTTATGGGCCTGAGCGGACAAGCCCATTGTGTGGCCTAGAAGATAAGCTTCCCAGGCACAAAGGATTCTTTTCTTTTTGTGCCCAAAGACAGGTGTGAGTGACAACTCCACTCTTCCCTGGCTCTGCCTCCCCCTCTAACCTAGATACTTCAGGCCCAGCCAGGAGAAGCCTGTTCCCATCACTCAATAGCGTATAGACATCTCAGATGAGATGGATCTGAAAAGTCGCACAAGACAAACATGGTGTCGGATGTCAACTGAGAAATCAAAGTGGCAGAGCCTGTACAAAGCCCTTCTTTAAACAGTACTTCACTGGCATCTTCCTCCCTCTGTTCCGAGCCAGCTTTGATGTAGTATTGGATAAACCCCCTAGACAACAAGTGTTTATTATCAATGTCAAAGCCATTCTGAAAAGCACTGGAATAGCTTAATAAAGAGCAGGCAGACCCATCCTTACTTCTCTGCATCGCTAACGCCAAAGGCCTGGACTGGTGTGATATCATCAACACGAGAGGTTCAGCCTCTCTCCTTTGGAAGTATAAACTGGTAATTCAGGTCTGGTACATTCCATCAAACCAGAGGGCTGTAGCCCAAGGAGGTAAGGGGGAAGACACTGGGGGAAGGTGCTCCAAGCCGGCCCTTGCCCTCGGGTACAGCCCTCTGTATGCCTATGGATGTGCTCCTGCAAGCCTGTAAATAGACCTGGGCACTCATCTAGTAGAATTTTTTTTTTCTCATTGGAAATTTAAAATTTACCTAGGGTCAAATTTAAAATAATAGTTCTTCTGAGATTTGAGAATGTTTAGAGAGTAACAGGGTAAACTAACCTATCAGGAAACACTTCAGGGACAGCACAGTGGCAGATAATTTCCCCAGAATTGCAAAGAAAATGAAGCAAAGCAAAACACCTTAGGAGACAACAAGTGGCCATATAAGAAAACAAAGACAAAAACAAGTAGGCAACAACAAAAAACCATTCCCAACCCAACTATCCCTGTGAACAGAAAAATCAGAGGAAGGGAATATAACAGAAATGGAGTAGTGGAGTGGGGATAGGTGTGTATACGCATGTTCACCTGTCTGTGCGTGATTATGAATAAATGTGTGTGCTCATATATGTGTGCATGTTCATATGTGTGCACACGAACGCTTGGGTCCATGTTCATGAGTCTGTGTGAGCACGTGTTCATACGTATGCCTGCACCTGAGTGTACATTTGGAGAACAGAGGTCAACCTTGAGTACTGCTCTTTAGGTGCAGATCATCTTTTTTTTTTTTTTTTTTTTTTTTTTTTTTTAATTTTAAGACAGGGTTTCTCTCACTGGCCTGAAACTTGCCTAGTGGTGAGCCAGAAGGCCCAGGAATCTGCCTGCCTTTACCTCCCACTGTTGGGATTATAAGAGCATAACCGTGCAGAACTCTTGTTTTGGGAGGGGTAGGTATTTGCTTGTTTTTTAAGACAGGGTTTCCCTGTGTAGCCCTGGCTGTCCTGGAACTCACTTTGTAGACCAGGCTGGCCTTGAACTCATAGAGTGCTGGGATCAAAGGTGTGTGCCACCACGTCCAGGTGCAGAGCTTTTTTTAATGTGGGTTCTGGGGACTCAAACCCAGCCCTCTGGACGAGCACTTTACCAAACTGTCTCCCTAGCGTTATTTTTAGACAGTCACTTACTTATCTGCATGTGAGTGTATGCACACTGTGTAAGAGCTCATGCCATGGCACTCATACAGAGCTTGTGGGAGTTGGTTCTCTCTTTCTGCCATTGGGTTCAGAGTATTGAATGTAGGTCATGAGGCATGGCACCAAGCACCTTTTCCTACAAAAATCACCTTAGTAGACTGCAAGTTTTTATCTATAAAAGACATTAATAGACAAACTTTGAAAATACTTGAAGAACTGATTAATGATCATAAGAAACCCTAACAAAATACAAAGGACAGGGACTTGAGAGATGGCTCAGTGGTTAAAAGCACACACTGCTCTTCTGGTGGATCTGGAATCTAGTTCCCAGAATCCATCTCGGGTAGCTCACAGCTATCTATAACTACAACTACAGGGGATTTGACAATTCTTGCCTTCTTTGGCACCTGCACTCATGTATAGACCCACACAAACACATATACACACAATTTAAAATAATGAAATATATCTTAAAAAATACAAATGGTAGCAGAATGGAAAGATGGCACACATAATACTTTGAGGCTTTGCCAGGCAGGGCTCAGGGAGAGAAGAACAACAGTAGGACTGTCTAAACACTTAATAAAGCTTTTACTTTGTATTGGTTTAGGTTTTTGTGACATGATCTTACATAGCCCAAGCTGTCTTCAAACTCATGATATAGCCAAGGATAACCTTGGATTCTTGGTCTTCTCTCAGGTGCTGAGATTATAGGTATGTACACAACTATGCCTGGCTTGTAACAAACTTTTAATGCTTTTACAGTGACAAATGAAAAACTATAGTAAAAGCAAACAAGGGGATAGTCGGCTGATGCAAGTTAGGATTGAGGTGATGTAAAGAGCTGAAGGGAAAGGCAAAACAAAACAAAAAAAGACATGGACTACAAGCCTGGTAATGTCAAGATAGCCACAAAGACCTAGAGTGTTAGCTTGGGCATGGAAAGCAAACGGAGTGGCCCACACAATACAGACATATATGTGTTGGCTCAGCTGGGTCAACAGTGCCCTATGGTCGAGATGTTCATGTAGCAACAAACCAGAGTCGCAGTATGGAACTCTGAGTAGGACTCTGCAATCATTCTTTCTTGTTCTAATGGTGCAAGAGGCAGCTTATGCACCTGTCCCAAGAATGATTAAATTCAGCACATTGCTGAGCCATGAGTCATGTTATCACAATCTTGGGTATAAGGAGCTGAAAGGTATAATAAACAAGGCACTTGGAATTTTTGCTCTGGTCTCTAAAAACTTGTAATTCTGTTTTAATCTTTGTGTGTGTGTGTGTGTGTGTGTGTGTGTGTGTGTACATATATGTATGTGTGTTTGTGTATGTGGTGTGAGGTTGACTTTGAAGGCTATTTCCGTTGACCTTCACATAACTCATTGAGACAGTGTCTCTTACTGACCTCAAGCTAGTCACTGCTAGTCACTATGGCTAGTCTAGGTAACCAGCATGCTCCTGGAATTTCATCTCTGCCTTCTGAGCACTAGAAGGGCAGGAGGACTTTCACAACAACCCAGAATTTACTTGGGTTCTCAGGATCCCAACTCTGAACCTCACTTTTGCACAGGAGGTACCTTAACCTCTGGGCCATCTAGTAGTTGTCAACTTGTCTTCAATCTTAGATAACTGAGAACCTGATCAAACCTGTGGCTCACCTCCCAAAGAAATATAAACATGCACCTAGAGATCGTGGGTGAGATCAGAGCTCCCTGCTGGAGCCCACAGTGGTTCATGCCTGTTACTCAGCTGCCTAAGACACTGAAGAATTACTGTCAGGAGTTCAAGTACAGCCTGGGTAACACGGCAGAGGGAGGTTTGGATCCCAGATGGTCTCAGCATCTTCAGCATCTTTGATGCCCATGAAATGCTCGCTGGTGGGAGAACCCCCTGAGAAAATCCTCCCAAAGAGACAAGAGAGAGGCCAGACAGGACACTGCTCTGAAAGCCAGTATGGAAGCAAACTAAGCTGGAGATAAAGAAAGAGAGGAAGACAGAGGAGGAGACTGATTCACTTTTATGTGCTTTTTAATTTCTTGGGTGTATTTCCCTGCATGTTTGTCTGTAAACCATCTGCAGTGCCTGCAGAGGTCAGAAGAAGGTGTCAGATCCCCCAGAACTGGAGTTACAGACTGACTATTCTGATCTGTATTGTGGGTTCTGGGAATCGAACCTGGGTCCTCTGGATGAGAGGCCTGTGTTCTTAACTATTGAGCCATCTCTCCAGCTCTGATTAATTCATTTTTAAGAGAAAGATATGTTTCTCTGAGTTGGCCAACGGGAGATAAGAAAGTATTACTAGCTATGAGAAGGGCTGGATGGAGCTAGAAGAACCAAAGATCATCCTACAGCAGCCCTATGGTCCCATCTTACCTGCAATAGTTATGTTCACCCAGACCAGCTTCCCCGTTGGGGTATTTCAGCGTGTTGTATGGATGCTGGAATGTCTCGTTCCAGAACAGACATGGCTTCCCACCTTGCAGTGCTGTCCAGCTCTGTGTTCCCCTATAATCTGCACCATTGGCTGTGAAACACTCTAGAAGAAGGAAAAAACAGCATACTAATTTTCTGGCAACATTTGTAGTTTCCTCCCTCTCTGGTGAATGTTTTATTTGTTTTGTTTGGACCAAACTAGAAATGGATTGTGTTTTGCTAGATCCTGGGCGGCCTGCTGGGCTGAGTGAATCTGCAATGCTGGGCACTGTTGGTACCAGCTTGTTGGGCCACTGGGGGGCTTCCCCTTGAAGTCTACAGGTCCCAGTGAAGATATAAACACGGCACTGAAATATACTGGAGCTCATGAAGTGAGCCAAGAAAACCCCAAATCTAGAATAGTTGCTAATAGATATGCGCGTGGAATTCTGGGCACTCGGAGGGGGCCACTGCTCTAGCCAGCATCTCTGTATGGTAACTAGAACCAGGTCACCAGCTGTAACTGAGAGCTCCCCTACAGTCTGAAAGGCTGCTCTGACACTTGGATTTAATAAGGCCATCGGATACAGCAATGCTTTGGAATCCCAATCACACAAATCTGGGAATGACTCACATTCCCTGGTAATGAGGAACAGTCCTCCCTGCCTTGTCTGAGGTGCAACAAAACAGGGGGCAATGGAGGACTGAGACAGCACTTTTTCTCACCTCTTCCTGAAATGCTTTCCTAGAAAATGTGTTGAAAATGGACTCGGGTCCCATTTCATGAAATAACAGATCCTTGCAGGTGTAATCACGCACTTCTAAAATCCACTTCTCAGACTCTGGGGGATGGGAACTGAGACCGCCAGGCTTCTTCCCACATATTGTATGCATTAAACTCACAGAGGTTCATGAGAAAGGCAGAGTACAAAGAGCAATTTTTAAAATTAGCTTAGTTGAAACTGACAGATAGAAGCACTTCAAACACTTCTTTAAGATGTATCACTAGAACCCTGACAGTCTGGGGGAGTTAGCCCGACATTCTTAGCTTTCTTCCGTTCTTTCTCCTGGCACACAGTGACGTATCACTTCCGGTAATAAAGACATGACGCTGTCTCCCATTGGGCAGGGCATGTGCCTGCTGTAGACTAGGAGGCATGTGGACAACAGGACACATCTCCATTCCGAAAGACCTTTCTCTGACTACTTAGAGACCAAACATCTTCCTTCCAGTCACACCTTCCTCCTACCAGCTAGGCTCTGTATTTTATCTGGAATAGCACCATTTATGGGTGGCTCAAATAATCTGGAATTCTAGGAGACACAGAAAACCACAGCAACTTATCATGCCTGGTGCAACATTAACATGGTAAGTGTGAGTCCTCAAGTACCATGAGGACATTGACACAAAGCTCAAAGGCACTAGAGGACATCGGCTCAGCAGAGTGACATACACAGGACCAAAGGCTCAGCTTTGGCTCATTGTCTTGGATTGTTGCTGATATGGATAAATCGCCACTATCTGCACCAGTTCTAGTATTCCCGTCATGCTTAAGGGTGTACCATGCTGTTTGATCACACCCCTCTTCACACAGGAGGCAGCCACAGCACTTGGATAGGTCCTACTGGACTCCAGCAGAAGCCCTCCAGTGGTAGGTACCCTTTCTGTCCTTCACCCCACTTCCCTGTTGACTTCCTGTAACTTCCTCCCCCCCCCCCATCTTTAGCACCTCTGTTTTGGCCCCACTGGTCATAAGGGAACAGTTTAGATCTCGCTGTTGCCTTCTCAGCTCTACAACCCACTTTCCACATAGAACTCAAAGGTCCCAAGAGAATGAAGGTTTGTCTTGTGGGTGTTTGCAAGGCCTCCCTGCTGTAAGCCCAGCTCTTCCCTTAGTCACTCACTGTGGTCAAACCACACTAGCCTGCTTTTAATCCTGGGAACACACTTCCCCATTTCCTGCCCAAATGTTCTTCCTCTAATATTTCCAGTTGCAAGATAAACATCGCCTCCTCAGAAGCCCCTTCTCATCTCTGCCTCTTTGCCTCCTTCCTTTGTCTGCCCCACAGCACTCACTTGTCACTAGGGACACACACACACACACACACACACACACACACACACACACACACACATCCAGTCCTAAACCCAGGTCCCACACGCACTGATATCTTCCCTTAATTACTCCCTGAGCAATGTGGTCTCACAACTACTCGTACTGCATTTTAATCATATTGGGTATTCTAAACAATCTAAAGATGACTTAAAGCACATGGAGGGAATGTACAGACGACGTGCAAAATATGAATGTGAGTATCTGCATTTTGGAATTCTTAGAGGCCTGGAGCAGCACTACAGATACCACGGGCAACTACATTAGAAGGGATGGGAGGAGAGGATAATATGTGTATGGCGTGTTTCACATCAGAGCTCTATTCCAACCTAGGTAATTCTGTTGCCTGATCAGTTCTGGAGTCACAAGACTGGATGATTCTTTTAATTAATTAATTAATTAACTTTAATCAGACTGGTATTTATTTTTGTTTTGCTTTTTTGTTGTTTTTGTTTTTCGAGACAGGGTTTCTCTGTGTAGCCATGGATGTCCTAGAACTTGCTCTGTAGACCAGGCTGGCCTCAAACTCACAGAGATCCACCTGCCTCTGCCTCCTGAATTCTGGGATTAAAGATGTGTGTCGCCACCACTGGCTTTTTTTTTTTTTTAAGGACTAGATGATTCTAAGAATATCAGGTCAACCTCTGTCAACTGCTTTCTGCCCTACATAATCTTATACATCGAAACATAATGTTGCAGGATTGGGTATAATATCCAGAGGCAGAGGCAGAGGCAGATGGGTTTCTGAGAGTTTGAGGCTAGCCTGGTCTACATAGGGCATTCCAGATCAGCTGGAGCTAATAGTGAGATTCTGTCTCAAAACAAAAACAAACAAAAATACGTTATGTTGCCTACCTTAAATATAGATGATAAAGATACATTTTTTAAAAAGTGGGGGGCTAGAGAGATAGCTCAGCTGTTAAGAATACTTGCTGCTCTTCCAGAAGACCTGAGGTTTGCTTCCAGTACCCAAATTAGGAAGTTTACAACCCTCCTGTAATTCCAGCTCCAGAAGATCCTGTGTCTTTTCTGGCCTCTGCAGGCACCAGCACACAAATACACACACACACACACACACACACACACACACACACAAATAAAAAGAAAACCAAATCTAAAAAAAAAAAAGTGGCGAGGAAGCAGGGTATGGTGGAATATACCTGTAATACCAGCACTTGGGAGATGGAGGCTGGAGGTTCAGGAGTTCTAAGTCATCCTTGGCTACAAAGCCAGTTAAAGCCTGGCCTGGGCTACATGAGACACTGTCTCAAACAAGCAAGCAAGGAACCAAAACAGGCCAATGATTCACAAGTCATCAAAACAGCAATAACCTCAGAGATAGACAGCAACCTGTGGGGCATATTCCCAAGGACTCAAATGGTTTTATTTGTACCACAAAAGAATGTGCCATGAATGGTATTGAGATGCCATTAACAGCAGGAATATGACAGTGATGCCTTTTCTGGTTCTGGAAGTTTTTTTTTTTTCCAGATCTACTCTTTTTCAAGGTTTTTGGAGACAGTCTCTTGTAGCTCAGACTAATCTAACACTAACTATGTAGCTGAGACTGGCCTTGAACTCCTGATCCTCCTGCCTTTCGAGCAATAAGATCACAGGTGTGGTAGCATCCCTCTCAGGCAGTTCTTGTATCCACTCTAAATAAGCATACTAGATTTTAATTAAAAAAAAAAAAAAACGATTTGCCTAGTACACTATTTGTTATGGACTGGAAGCTATCTGTGCATCCTGACTTCATCAGGGTGTGAGTGAGATAATGAGGACCCTGTCACCCTTCTTTTCTACTGCTATGAAACTGATATAGCTTTGTCTAGATAAGCAAGGAGAGGCTAAAACAACAACAACAAAAATCACCTGGTATCTTGTATATTCACATTTTCAGTAAAAGAGAATGAATGAAGGCAAGAGACCTAATGTCTACACCACCATTCATGAATGCGTTCAACAATTTTTCAGTCCTTACCATTGTCCAGAGCTGTGGTGAATAGACTATGGATTCTTGGCCTTCCCTTGTTAACAGGGAACACAGGTTCATAAACCCATGTCAGTATCAGACAATAGTCAGTGCTATGAAACAGAGGGGTCTGGCACGGCTCAGAGAGGAGTCAGTATTCGAGAAGTGTGAGGGACTAACTGGGGAAGAGTGGGAAGAACACTGTAGGAAGGGTACAAGGTGGGCAAACCCTGGCCAGCAGGACAGTGCCCAGAAAGCTGCTGCTCCTCCCCGATGGGCCGGATGAGTGCACTGGGACAGGCAGGGTCTCGAGGGTTACACAAGATAGGCCCACACTTGAGTGCACACACACAGAGAAAGAGAGAAAAAAAGAGAGGAGGGGGAAGAAATAAAGCAAATTGCTCTCTGATCAAAATCTAGTTGTCAATATAAAACACACTTTCATTTATATATGCCACTTAAATTACATATTTAGTAATTATACTTATGAAGAAAAGAATAACTAATACAAGCACTGCATTGTGTATTTCATGAGAGAAACCCTGTATGAAAACATCAAAAAAAAGAATAAAACATCAACAATAACAAAAACCAAACCAAAACAAACAACTCCCCCCCCCCCCCAAAAAAAAGGGAAGGGAAGAAGAAAAGAAATCTATATGGGAAAATACTTACATTTCTTTGGGACAGGGTCTCATGTAGCTGGCCTTAAACTTGATAGATAACCAAGATAACTCCTGATCTTCAATCAGTGCCTCCTAAATGCTGGGATTATAGGCTGTGGCACCATGCTTTACTCTTGTGTTTTCAGTTAAGGTCTCCCATTTTAGCTCAGGCTGGCCTCAAACTCAGTGAAGGAAGCCTTGGCCTCTCAAGAGCTAGGATTATAAATGTGAGCCAATTTGTCTGGCTACCAACTCCAGTGTTTTTGGTTTTTTTTTCAGATTTATTTATTTTTTATGTATACAGTGTTCTGATCTCATTATATATAGTTGTGAGCCACCATGTGGCTGCTGGGAATTGAACTCAGGACCTCTG